TCTCAGGAATTGGGATGAGTAAGATGGGGTGATACAAATGCAGGCTTCTTTTCAGGAACTGGGGCCACTGGTAAACTGGAGCCCTTCCTGAGAGAAGCTGAATACACAATGGTCCCGATACTTATCTACTAAGCTCAAATTTTCCTAAGCTTGCTGCCTGCCACTGCTGGCATGAAGTTCTGTGCTCTGAGGAAGGGTACTGATGAAGCTGTTGCAGTGCTCTGTGGAGCAACACTGGCCCTCTGGGTTGCACAAATGCCTAGAATATGGAGGGAGAAGGGGAAAAGGAAATGCAGAAAGGTGCAAATGAGACAAAGAGCAAATAAATGAAGAAGAGAGACAGACAGAGAAAGTATACAGCAGATGAAGAAAAAACTGCTACAACTCTCATAAAATCCTAAATTCTGTTTCCAGTGATTAAAACTTTAATGAAGGTACCACTGATCAGTGGCCAGGAAATACAGCAGGCACGTGAGGGTCACATTGGGCAGATCCATTGAGAAGGAGGGATATCAGTGGTGACCCCCTTGTCTCTTTCAGTTTCCCCTGCTGAAACCACATCAAGAGATTTCACCATGGGTAACCTCATCCGACTGGGTCTGGCTGCTATAATTATGGTTACCTTGGGGGCTTTCCTGGTTGAAGCCTGGCTTAGCCAGAAGGAGTCTCCACATGGATCCAGGTGAAACACTGAGCACTTCTCTTTTTTATGGGCTGCTGTAGTGATAGGGGCTTCTTTAAACACCAAACTCTGCGTGGGGACTTATGTTTCGCATTATGGGCACACATAAATTTCAGGGAGGATTTTTCTTCACCGGGTGTGACTGTTCTGATCATTGTACGAACATGTAGTATTTCTTTTCCTTTCTCGTTAAACAGCAGTGAAGACCCAATCACTGTGGAAGAAGCAGCTCGTACTATCCATAACACCCCTCAATCATCCCTAGATGAGGAGGATGAGGACAGGGGGTGGCTCTTCGTGGCAGAAAACCTGTGTTTGGAGGCTGTGAGGAAGAACATTCTTCCTCTTCCTCCCTCCCCTGATCTCAAGTCTATCCTTCTCTACCCACAGGTCAGACAGCTGCCCTGGGGGACAATGAGTGCTTGATCAAGCCAGACCTGCTGAACCGGAACAGTTCTATGGAACCTGGATTCTCAGTTCTATTGACACTCTAGGACAAGATGATGGCTTTCTTTTTCCTGTGCTCTTCACCTGGGGCAGACGACAGGACTGAGCAGAAAGACTCATGTAACACATTTTGGATGACTTGGAAAACACTCAAAACCTCAGAGTCAGGCTGTGTTGCACATACAGTCTCGTCTGCAGGAACTGTTCTTCCATTGAAAAATGGGGAAAAATGGCTTCCTGTATAATATTTATCACTTCTGCTCCTGTCTACTTTGTGCTTCAGGACCAGCAATTGGTCAAATGTTGAAGTTTCTGTATTTATCAAACATGTCTTTCATGTATGTGTATGTGTGCACTCGCATGTGATTTTTAAAATTTTTTTCTATTTTTTTTATTAGTTTCAGGTGTTGGGATTACATCAAACTAAAAAGTTTTTTCACAGCAAAGGAAACCATCAATAAAACAAAAAGGCATCCTGCTGCTTTTTTTATTTTTCTTAAATTTATTAGGGTGACATTGGTTAATAAAATTATATAGGTTTCAAATGTACAATTATATAATAAATCATTTATATATTGCACTGTGTGTTCGCCACCCAGAGCCAGTCCTCCTTCCATCACCATATATTTGACCCCCTTTACCCTCTCCCCTGATAGAGGAGAGGGACGTTGTTTGATCAAGGGTATACGAGTAGCTGTGCTCCCCTGCTAGAACCTTCAAACAAGCTCTCAAACATGTCTTTTAAACTTTATTTCTTATACTCCTAACATTTTACCTAATTTGGAAGAATTCCATTCTATGTCATAGATCAATTTGCTCTTGAGTTGTCCCCAGTATTCCTGGTGCAGGTGTAAAAGGTCATCATTATATTTTCAATATTTGTTGTTAGTTTCTTGTTCATAATCTTGTTTTTTTATATACATGCTCATTCTTAGTTTAGAGTTATTATCCCCTCACTTATAACTCTGGGGAGAAGCTTATGAAAATCAAGTTCTGATTTTAATAGAAACTGTTCTCTCAAATATAAGTTCTTTGTTTCATCAACTTCCTTTCACTGTGTTGGCTTCCATCAGATCATGGATGAGTCTTGTTTCTTACAGCTGAGACCCCCCTTTCACGGCTGTGGCACTGTGTATAAGATCAGCCTGTTTCTGTCCACTGTACTTTTCAGGGTGTGGAGGACGACTGGGGCTTTTCCTTGGCTGAGTATCTTGTCACTGGCTGAACTCAGTGTGGAGGCTCCAGGCTTCAGGCACCAGGAGAAGTTTTCTGTCCCTCCCACTCAATTAGTAAAACTCAGGGCTCCTGCTAAGAATAGACCCCCTTGGCTGCTATCTGGTCAAGGTAGTCAAAATGGAAAGAAGTCTCAGTGTATAGTCAGGATGGGTGTGGTACATCAAAGAGACACCAGTTGCTCACTCTACAAACACCTCTTGCAGCAGTCTCCACCTCGGCCACCCATGGAACAGCTTCAGTGGTGCTCCCACTCCCTAATGTGTGACTGTCCGTGTCGGTTTTACATTGTGTTTTTCCTCTTCACCCACTTTTAACCTTTTTTATTTATTTATTTATTTTTAATTTATTTATTTTTAGGTTTTTTATNGGTCCACAGGGCTTTCTTTCTACCAGAGCCCCACCTGGGCAAAAGCAAGAGCCTCCCCTCTCAGGCTCTCTGCTGTGTTTCCGGGGAAGTCCTGTGTGTTTGGAGCCCCCCCTCCTGCACAGGCTGGTTGAGCGGCATTTGAAATGCATGATGAGTGCTAGGGCTGATTTCCCATCTGTACAGGGGACAATCAGAATGATCTGCAGGGCTGTCTTTACGATTAGAAACCATGTGTGTGTGTAGCATGAGTCTTGTTATTTCCATGGGGAATGAACCCTTTTATCATCGCCTCTCCTCCCCTTGGTTCGGGTACTATTTCTGTTGGAAATTCCTCCGAGAGCATTCTCCATCATCTGTCAGTGAAGAAAGTATATCCCTCCCTTCTCCTGTCCCTGTTGTCAGGTCCTGAGGCATCTCCGATAAGACTTCAGAGATGATTCTCCTCTAATCTTGGGGTAGGTGATGTGCAAAAATGAGATGAGATGTCCTGTGGTGGGTGAGATGATAAGCAGCCAGGTGGCTCATCTGTACCCCACTGTGTCCTTCCAAGTACATTGGGCAAAGTCTCAAGCCTCAGAGGGTCATCCCACCTCAAAAGGCAATTACAGGGTCCCTGTCCCCATCAGCAGTGTCAGCAGGAGTGAGAGGGGCTGATGTCCAAGGGGCAGGACTTGAGCGTCTGAATATTTTAGAATCCTGTTTGATACTCAGCCAATGGTGTCACATCAACAGTATGTCGTTATGTAGAGACTCACTTAAAATTGCTTTTTTTTTTCTTAAGATTTTATTGGGGAATTGGGGAATTGGGGAAGGAGAACAGCCAAGAGTTCCTTCAATCTTAGTTGTAGAGGGCGCAGCTAGCTCAGCTCCAAGTCCAGTCGCCATCCAGCCGCCCATCGGCAGCTCGCAGTCACTCAGCTCAAGGTACTGTGTTCAATCTTAGTTGTGGGTGGGCACAGCCCTCCATCCCATGTGGGAGTTGAACCAGAAATCTTGTTGCTAAGAGCACATGCTCTAACCACTGAACCATCTGGCCACCTGTTGGCAGCTCAGGGCAGCTCAGCTCAAGGTGCCGTGTTCAATCTTAGTTGCAGATGGGCGTAGCCGACCATCCCATGTGGGAGTCAAACCTGCAACCTTGATGTTAGGAGCGCGTGCTCTCACCAACTGAGCCATCCTGCCACCTGTTGGCAGCTCAGCAGCAGCTCAGCTCAGGCACAGCTCACTGGCCCATGTGGGAATCCAACCNTCACATAGCCTGCAGACTTTCTAAGTCCCTAAGACTTGACCATCTCTTGCAGAGATGTGCCTGAGTTCTCGCCATCTGCTTTGCTTTCACCATGACACGAGGCTGATATTTACTGATGGTCTTTGACCTGCTATGCAGAGAGTAGAGGTGGTACCTACTGGCCCACCCTGCATGGTCCATTAGAAAAGGAGAAGGTCAATGCTGTGGGCTCCAATTCCTTTTTGCCAAGCAGGCAGGGGGATAAAGGTCCAGGCTCCCAAGGGTTTTGATGCTCAGAGACCAGGCTCTCCAGAATTGGAGTCATGCTGCCTCCCAGGTGCAGCTTCTAGTGAGTTCAGGTGTCCACAGGTATCTGCTCTCTCAACTCTTTCCTTTTTTCCATTCTCTGTGGATCCACTGACTGTAAGAAAAAATTTTCTTTTTAATACCTCAAAAACATCCATTATGTTTTGTAGTGGTAAAATATATGTAAATAATAGTTATCCTTTTAACCATTTGTGAGTGTGTATAGTTCAGTGACATTAAATACATTCAAAATGTTGTGTAACCATCATCGCCCAAAACTTTCTTATCTCCAACATAAACTGTCCCCATTAACCAATAACCCATTTCCCCTCTTTCCCCACAGCCCCTGGTAACCTGTATTGTACTTTCTTGTCTCTACGAATCTGCCTGTGTTGGGAGCCGGCTGTGCCTCAGTGTCTGACATGGCCAAGCATGCTGCTATTGTAACAAATTCTGAAGCTCTGACTGATAAACAAATACTGCTCTATACCTTAAAAAATTTATATTCTCCTTTAGACACCCCTTCCGATATTGATTATTGTATTTACCTTAATCAACTTAGTAAGTCATATATATATATATATATATTACAATAATTCTATTTTATACACTGGAAGCAATCTTAGTCACACTGTTAGTCTCCTGCTGTCTTAGTAATATGCAAAGTATGCACCCTGTAGTCTTAGGATCCTGCTCAGTTAATGGTGTTTGGGATAATTGCTGGGTTGCTATGGAAACCATTCTTTAGGTTATGATGCAGAAACTCAGCCTTAGCCACACAGTAATTATAGGTAAAAGATTAGGACACAGTTAAGATAAATTAATCTTTAGCATAGAACAGGTCAAGCTGTACCCTGTAGCAGAAAAATTGTAAGGAAGTGAAAAATAGCCTATATGGAAGAATAACCCTGGGAAAATAATATCAAAACTATGTGAAAAACAATGTTCTCATGATGTAATGGTCAACTGTCCAGCATAAAAAGGGACATGCTGGAAAAATAAAGTGTGACACTTCTTTGAAAACGTTCCCCGCGTCTTGGCTCTTTCTTCCCCGCCTCGCTAACTCCGTCTCCACCTGAGGGAACTCCTGGACCAGTGGGAGCTGGACTCCCGCATGCCTGTTCAAGGTACTTTTTTATAAGTGTAATCATACAATATTTGTCCTTTTGTGTCTGGCTAATTTCACATAGTGTAATGTTTTCAAATTCCAGCCAGGTGTCAGAATTTCATTCCTTTTTATGGCCGAAGAGTATTCCATCTTCTCTATAGATATTTTATTTATCCATTTATCTTTGGATGGACACTTGGTCTTTTCACTTTGTGTCTATTACTTTCCTTTTCTAAAACATGAAATGTAATATTTTTAATTGGGCCATGCAGTTTTAGCACAAAGTCCTGGCAACTTCCCCCTTTTCACTACTAAGATACAAAACTGTTTAGCCCACATGGGGAAAAAAGAGGAAATCTTTTAGAAAAGCAGGCCTAACCAACATCCATTGAGTTAGTTCAGTTTCCTTCTTATACTAATCTTTGTAAACAGGCTTGATGTTAATTTTAAAGAGATCTTAGCACACAGGTAAAACTGTATCAACCACATTTGGGTACTGATGGCAGGCTGGCTGCAAATTGTCAGAGATATATATAATCACTTTTGCTTGGAAGTTTCTAAGTCAACTGATTTTGAATTTCTATGTTGCAGTCTTGTTCAATTTTTTTCAGGTTCAGTTAAAGTAGTGGTTCTCCATTTTGGCTCAGTATTTGCATCACTCAGAAGACTTTGAAAGTTTGCTGCCTGAGCCCCATCCCAAACAATTCTGATTCAATGCTTTTGTGGGCTGGTCTGCCCACTGCGATGTTCAACAGCACCCCCAGGGCAGCCTAATGTGTAGCCAAGATAAAGAACTGAGCTGGAGTATCGTACAAAAGCAGCTGATTGTGGCACAGGGGAGGGATGTAAGTTTTCCCTTTTCTGGAATATCTATTGGGGTTCTTTGAGGCTTGTTTTAGAGCACCAGGCAGCAAGCTCCATCCAGTTTGGAGAATCAAAAGATGAAATGACATAATGGAAAGAGTGGATCAGGAACTTTTCAGCTTTAAGGTTGATGTTGGTGTAATAGGACTCACTGTATCTATGAGCAAGCCCTCACCAAATGGACGCTCACTGGTGATGATGGTGAGGTTTGGGAATGGACATATGGAGAGGCTGCATTTTCTCACATTCTGGTGACTCTAAAACATTGTCATTTTCAGAATGTTTGATGTAACAATACCTGGTTTCATTTCATGAATGTGGTTGTGACATTAAGCTTGTGGGTCACGTGACAGGAAGGAAGGGACATGCTGAAGCAAAGATGTCACTACTCACATCAAGCTTTCCTTCCCCCATGGATGTAAAACTGAAGACGGGTCCTTAGAACAGCCAGTATGACCCCTGAATTCCTTTTCCTCCTCTGCTTTGGTAAGTTCCTTAGGATTGATATATTGTGATTCAAGACAAGGGTAGATTGACTAATTAAGAGATGTGAAGAATACAACAAAAATAATAACTGTGGCGTGTATTTATTGATTGCTTCATACATGTCAGGACCCATGCTGCAGGCATTACACCCACTTACAAATCAAGTGTTTTTCGATATGCGAATATGTACATTCTTCATTCATGATGGTACATTGTGCCTACACCTTCATGTATTTAACAATTTATTGACCCTGAGTCAACTCCTTTTCTTTAAATGCATGTATTTATTTGCAAGTGGAAACAATGTAGCAAGACTTTAAATAATAATCCAGTGTCAGCTACCAAAAAAAAAGAAAGAAAGAAAAAATAATACAATGAAAAGGCAATACAATGGAGGAATGATAGGAATTCTAGCCTTATGTTGTTCATTGTCAAGTCTCGGAGCCCATGGATGACCACTTCCCTGTTACAGAGATTAGCTAGTGATAGAGGGGTAATAACGTCCACAGTAAACTGAGCTTTTCTCCTTGCTGTGATCAAAAGGGCTTAACGTGATCTGAAAGGGCAACAACCTTCTGATGCCATGATTAATGCTACAGAATCCTGTCACTGCACCACCTAACACCATCCCACAGAGCTCCTGNTCAGTTGGTTAAGAGTGTGACCTCTGAGCAACAGGGTCACCGGTTTGATTCCCACATAGGCCAGTGTGCTGCGCCTGAGCTGAGCTGCTGCTGAGCTGCCAACAGGTGGCAAGATGGCTCAGTTGGTGAGAGCATGTGCACTTAACAAGGTTGCCTATTTGACCCCCACATGGGATGGTGGGCTGTGCCCACCCGCAACTAAGATTGAACACGGCACCTTGAGCTGAATGAGCAGCTGCAAGCTGCCGACGGGCAGCCGGATGGTGACTGGACTTGGAGCTGAGCTAGCTGCGTCCTCCACAACTAAGGCTGAAGGACAACAACTTGGCTGTTCCCCTTCCCCAATTCCCCAACACCGTTCCACTTGCCCAATTCACTAATAAAAAATCTAAAAAAAAAAGGGTTTAAAATTAAAACTTGATGTCAATACCATGAATAGAGATCCAGTATCAAATAGAAGGTAACTATGAAGTACACATAATGAGAAGGAAAGAATGCTATGATATTTTAACTAAAGGCTGTTTCTGGTCAAGCTTCTGAGCCTGAAACCTACTATTTCTTTGCTATAAAGGCCATGGAGAGATAGATATCAAACGCTATCTTCCAATGGGCTTTTGTGTTGATACATTAAAGGTACAGTAAGAGTGCTCACAGCATGCTGTCATGCAATGCTTCAGTCCTCCCTCCTTCCACCTACCATCACATATCACGTCCCGCGTGACAAGGGCTGGGGAGCTCAAGGAGGGGCAGCGAAGGGTTAAGAAATCACAAGAGTCAAAAGTAGAGTTTCTGCGGGCCAGGGGTCTAGTCTCTGAAGATCTAGGGAGCCCTGATACTGGTGGGTGTAAAGCTTTTATTTACAATGGCCACAAAGAAGTCAATTTGAATATCTATACCCAGTTAATTGATTCGATTAGACCGGCAGCTGCTTCACTGAAACTCATTGTGATCAAGTCAAGCACTAGCTGTGCTTTCACACATACTTATGATCCCCGGATGGACTCAGCATTCCGGATAAGGAAGTTTTACCGAGATCATTCCCTGGGGTCTTAGCATTCCAAGACACTTCCTTAAGACTTCAAAGGATCAGTGCGCAGGAGCATTTGAGTTAGCAGCTGCAAGGCGACAATCACACACAGCACCAACGGGAGGTAGCCCGCATTTGGGAAATACCATTCCGATCTTCCCAACGACAACAAAAACCCTGCAAGAGAGAACTAGGTCCACTTTTGCAGGTGAGGAATCGAATCTGAGTTTGCAAACTGAACGGACTTGCCTCAGAGTACACGGGCAGTGTCCAAGGAAGCCAGATTTCAACACAGAATTGCCTAGCTCCAAAAACCTTTCCAGTTAGCCATGACATTAACTTAAGAGGGACATGTACATGGGGTCCTTGGTATGGAGGCATCCTACGAGTGTTTGAAAGGACATGGGGTTGGAAAAAGCCTGAGGAGGTAACGACAAGTGGTTCAGAACGCCCGCAGTGATGGAGTTAGGATGTAACTCAAAATGAACATTTTCAAAAACCGATAAAGCTTGACATCCACAAAAAATCAGGAGAGGAGAACTTGCCCTGGCATCATCCTTTGCACTTGGCTTCTTCCTGTTGCCACAATTTTTGGACCTCAAGACTTCAGGCCACTCCACAGAGCATACCTACATCAGGGGCTTGTCTTAGGAAGACGCATGGCCTGGAGATTCAGCTCCTGCACACAGTCTGTGGGGACATGGGAAACACAGGTCAACATTTAAGTTTCCTCATCTTTCAGGGTCAGCTTCACAATCACGTTCAAGTATGTATGACTCATTGCAAGGCGCAGTCTATGCTCAACAAATGGTACTTTAAAAAAATTTTTTTTTATTAGTTTCAGATATACAAAACAATGTAATAGTTAGACATTTACACCCCTCACAAAGTGATAACCGTCCTCCCCCAACCTACTACCCCTCTGACATTGAATATAGCTATTACAATACTATTGACTATATTCCCTATGCTGTACTCCACATCCT